AATATCATTTCTATTTAAGTTCACATAATAGAATATTATGAAAAATGTTTTACAAGCACACCCGTTATAATATTGTATAATAACAGACGAGATGAAAAGCAGATAAATAATTCAAGATTGTTGCGGTCAGCGAGCTATGAAGTAATCGATATACTTGATGAAGCATGACGATGAAACATTTTAACCTGATTTTTATTTAAAACAATTTTAATTTGCCAATAAAGGGAAAAATTTCATGTTGGTTACCCTAAGGCTAAATTTTCTTTATTGTGATTTTCATCCACAGAATGTACGTGTATTAATTCACGAGATGTAGGCTATCTGTAATGCAAACATGTTACATTCCTTTTTTGAAAGCTTCTTTTAAAATTTAATCTAAGATTACAGTCAGTTGACTGAGTTTTTATATTACTAAATAAACTAAATATCAAGCTGCTGCAAGCATCATATCAGTAGTATTTTACTCCTAATCTGATCTTTTGAAAACTAGGAAGCTATTCTGTCAAGTGAGTTTTAATTAAGCTGACATACAAATTAAATTTCATTGTGGTTTTCATCACAGATTGACACCATTTGGAGAACCACTTAAAGCCTGAAGGGCTTGAACACCTATCTCATCCTGGTGTCGACCTGTTAACTGGTATGCAGTAATGACCTTTTAGGGGATAGAAGTTGGCAATTCTGGGTTTCGTGACCAGTAAATTACCCCTCAGCCACTCAGTTGGAATCCAATCGTTCACATTTTCCCATATCGTAAACTGCTAAAGGTAGGAGAGTATAGACTATATGAACCCAGTGGCTGAGGAAAAAATCTCAGCGTCATCGTAAAAGTTACTTGGTTAGATCCATCAGTAGGACAAACAACTGTTGAATGAGCCCAGGTTTTCAATATTTTTTTGACTCATGTCAGCCCATAATAAGTACCACCCTGAAGTCAATGCGCCCCACAAATTTCTAAATTGACACATTGATGGTTTTTTAGAGTTTTGTTTAATCCACTTGCGCGTAGGTTGATGGCTTGTATTAACTAACGTCCATTCTCCATTTAGTTCTCACATATCCTCTCTGTATGAAACCACATCTTTTAAGACAAATAAATGGAGAATTACGATTCGACAAAAACACTCGATGTAGAGTCCATTATTTATCACAACACCACACAAGGACTATATCCATTTTTTATGTCCATTGAAAGCTGATAGAAGTAACGTCTTTAGCCTAATAAATTCAAAACTTGACTTATTTGACCAAGATGACATTCAACGGTTAAAGTAGTAAATGTATGCGTTGAACGCTAGTTATTATACTAAGTTAGGACTACGGCTGATATTACTTTAGGTTGGCTGTAGGAAAGTTTGATAATCTAAGTTCTTTACCTGCCAGCAATTGTGTACGAAAACTATTGCCTTTCAAAACCCATAGCTGTCATTTCCAGGCGTCATACTCAAATGACGTCACTCAGGTTGCGGTCAGCCTCAAAAAAAACGAATGAAGTACACAATAAAATCAAACGAATACAAAGATAATTTCATCAGATCAGGTTTAGGACTGAACATCCACTTTTAACACTGGTTAGCAACCTCGATATGTCTTAAATTGACGCAGGCAGAAAACTTTGAAATATACAACATCAACTCATGTCGTTAATATGAACTTGTTGGTCACTTAAAATGATGCTCCTCAATTTGATCTCTCAAAAGATTGTGGTTTCAATATGTTGAATAATCTTCGGTAAACAATAAACTAGTATACAATACTCTCAAGTTTTCAACATTTCTTCTAGTGACATAAGTCCACATTATTAAACACACAAAAACTGTTCCGTGAGATTCCAAGTACAGTCTAAATTCCGTTCACTTGGATTACAACATGTCGAACCACTTGTGTATTGTTTAGCCTCAATTAGTTTAATCGCATAATCCACAACATTCATTCCACAATCATAAAATTGATGTTTCTTTTCCATCATGAAAGAATTTTGATGTGGCATATTCGAAGTATGTGAGAAAAGGTTTCGTACACTGCACTGTTAACTAAAACAGGTATAAGCATAAATGAAGGATAATATTTACCATGTTTAATATGAAGTCAGCGAGTATGTTCTGAATCAGTTTTCAGTAATTTCAGTGATACTTCCCATCATTCATACATCCTGGAATTAGGCAGTCGTTAGCAAAGTGGTAAACTAAAACAAATAGGAGCACTTACCTCCATTCCATTTATGATAACCATTGAAATATGTTAAATAAGTATCTATGACGTGTATTACAAAAATTCAATCATATATTTTGCTCTAGAATACAAGATATGAAAGCATTTGACCTAAAACAGAGAAACACTTAAAAGACGTCTGCTGATCAAACAGTTATACTATTTGAAACAATTAGTCCCTTTTATGAATTTGGATAATGTAATTGTATGGGGGACTCAATGCATGATGATATCAAAATACTAAAGGAAACATTAGTGGAAAATGGATATCCATTGAAGTTCATAAACCGCTGCAAAAATCAAATGCGTTTACATCGCATTACCATACAGTGGAGAACCTAACAGCATGATATTAAAACGAAGGTTGAGGTCTGCTGTTAGCAAAACGTACTATGCAGCTAAGCTTATCATAGTTGAGAAGACCAAACACCTGCTACAACCTAGACCTCAACACTGTATAAACGATTCTGTCACATCCCACTGCGTTCATAAATTTACATGTGCGGGTGGACAAAATACATAGGGAGGACTAATTGTGATATGCACTTGAGGGTAGGGGAACACGTTCCAAAATGGCTATGAAAGCAATTGGATTCACAAACATTGATAAGTGCAGATGGCAGACAACCATCATCATCCATTGCGAAACATATCATTGATAAGAGTCACACAATTGATATCAAAACAGCCTTTACAATTTTGTACAGAAACTGTCAGGGGCGTATATTTAAGTTTGTTGAGGTGCTAGCCATAAATAAATTTAACCCCCATTGTGTGTGCAAAAACAGTTTGTCCTTACATTAAGCCTACCTTGATAATGCTTATTTTATCGTATTACCAAGATTGTCTTCAAGTCTTATCTTTTATTCCTCTCATTATCTTTCTTATTATTGTTCCTATTATGTCATATATATCCTTCTCCCACTTCCAGTTTCATATATATGCCTTGACAAGTAAATGTGTGATCAGACTGCTCGAAATGTATAGCGCTAATACATCATATCTTCAGATAATCTATGTCTTCTAATTACATTATCCAAGTTATACTATTCATTGGAACTTCTTAGACGAACGCCGTAATGGAGGCAAGAGATATTTTCACCATACTTAGTGTTTTGCAGTAATGTCTGAAAGTGTTAATTGTGTCTGCTTGGATGTTACAACTGGTATTCACCCGATCAAACCTTGAGATTGAGTAATTTTTGATAATACTCATTGTGAAGGAATAAAATTTTAGCAAGATACAATTTAAAATAGCCCAAAATGACTTCGTGTATAGTATTTAAACTATGTTAAGTGAAAATGATTAGTGAAATGATTTTCGAATATGAAAAAATATCTTTCACACTAATATCTTGTTCTGATTGAACAAATGACTGTTGATCCTAATACAAACTTGTAAGTAATGTAGTCTGGTCAGTAGGTGTATGTGAGTAGACGGTTGAACAACATCCTTCCGATTTCATTCGTAATGTTAAGTCAGTTTCCGGAAAAATAGATAAGACAGTAACATAACTGAAAGTGCACTAAAAGATCAAACTATGTAGAAAATACACCGGTTTGCATGTATTTACAGTGACTTTGACTATTTCTAGGCCTTTCTACCTCTTCGACTATTCTAATATTTACAATTAGATTCATGTGCTTTCTCTCGAAACTTTGCACAAAAGTGATTGATTTCAATAGGATTCAAGAAGTCAGAGCCCGTTATACGGATTTGGGCAATATTATTGCACACTATAGTCAAAAGCATTAACAAATCGCCTACTATTTCAGTAGGGAAAGCAAATTTCGTGTACTTTCAGGTTTTAAGACAAACTCTAAAGCACTTCCATGACATCTGTAATAGTAGTTCTTAAGAATTAGTAAAACATCTAAATTAGTCTACATCTCTTTTTTATTTCTGGTAAAAGCTCATCTCTCCTTCTTATGTGATAGAAATCCTTTTGCAGTTGTCTTAGACAAACCCTAAAAACTGTTTCATATTCAGCTGAACGCTGCCAGATACGCTATTTTAAGAGGAAATCAAGAACGTTAATATCAAGAAAATTTATGTGTGGCATCATTTATAAAATATCATACTATAAAATATACTTGTTTACATAAAATGGTCTACTACAGACTTTTTTAAATGTATAAAAATATGTAATATTTTCACAGTAATTCATAGTAAATCTACTTGATCAATATTATTTGTACTATATACTACATCCTGTATGCCTTTTGATGCATATGTATGTATCACATAGAAGATCACAAAGAGGACTTTTGTCAAAAATATACAAAATATGTTTTAAAGTGTAGGAAAACTGTTCAATGTTACATTGCTAGACACTGAACTGAAATGTAGGAAATAGGAAATAAAATACAAAACTTGAAGATCTATTTCTCTTCATAAAAATTTCAACAATCAGTAATCTAAACTGAGCAATAATATTTATTATTTATAAATAAAAACGAATGAGATTACTATTATGAGAATAAAATGATAAGGTAATTTTCTGATTTCTATGGATAAAAAGCACTGACTCACAGTTTATATACTTTGCTATGACAACATTTTGAAATATATTGTAATTGAAGTAATGATTAGAATGTCTTTGTCGACAAAGTTATGTCTTCTTTCATGGACTCAAGTAACAATGAAAGTTAATGACCCCAGTATAAAAGATTGATAATGAATATGGTGAATAAATTCATAAATTTCAAAGAAATCTTGTTAAATGTATACACTTCTAGATGAATAAAGTGAATAAAATGAGAAATAAAAGTGATTATACTGAAGTATGTTATCTTCTTCCTCGACCAGTTTTATGTGCATAAAATTTATTGAAATTTTCTGTAATAATAGGTACTGGTATAGCAAGTGTAAGTACTCCAGCAACAGCACAAACACTTCCAACCACTTTACCTAATGGCCCTTTTGGTACTTTATCTCCATAACCAACAGTACACATTGTAATTACAGCCCACCAAAATGCATCTGGTATACTTTCAATTTGTGAACCTTTTCTATCAATCTCAACATAATAGATTGTACTTGAAAAAACTAATATACAAACAATAAAAGCAACAAGAAATAAACTTAAACCTTCTATACTTTCTTTAAATGTTAAAACAAGTACTTGTAATCCAGATGAATGTTTTGTTAGTTTAAATACTCTTATCAATCGTATAACACGTAAAAATGCTAAGCTGGCACTATTTTTTGCACCTTCACAACTGAATGATATTAAAACATTGAATAATGTTATATAGTATGGTACAATAGCGGCTAAATCAATTAAATTTTTAATATCTTTTATAAATACTTTCTTACTTGGACAACTAATAAAACGTACAAAAATTTCCAATGTAAACCAGAATGTGCATAATGTTTCAATGATAAAAAATGGATCACGAAAATTTGGTTTAGCTCCAGGTTCACAATGTGTTTGAGCATATACAGGCAATGTTTCTATACAAAACAATATAATTGAAATCACAGTGAAAATGACTGATGCAATCGAGAAGGTGAAAGCCAATACTGATGTCTCTGGATATTCAAATAACATCCACAACTTCCGTTTAAAATGGTTCTCTGGTAAAATTATAATATCTGGTACATAACCTTCATTTTTTTTATATATATCTAATGCTTCAGATTCTATCTGAAAGAATTCCAACTCTGTAAGAAACACATCATCAGACACTGTAGCTGGACGTTTCAAACGACCACCATATTGATAATAGTTGAAGATAGCTTCAAAACTTGGTCTATGTCTATCAAAAAAGTATTCCTTACGATACTCATCATAAAATGGTTTTCTTTTGTTATAATCCCCCAGTAGTGTTGTTGGATGACGTTCAAGTACAGTGAGCCATGTTTCAAACTTCAGACCACTCACGTTGATGGTAACTCTTCGGCAGTCATCACAAGATGTATTACTGGATCGTGAGTTAGAGTCCCCAGTATCTCGATCATGCACTGATATAAGGATACTTGATCGAGATCTTCCCGTTGAAAAAGGTTTACTCTCTTTACCTGTGTGGCGTCTGTTTAGTTTATACCAAAATCTGCCGCTGTCAAGATCACTTTGTAATCGTTGAAAACGTTCTTTAATAGTTTTTCTTCTTTTCGGTAGTTTATTTTCAAGGTTAAATGTCCTATCAGGTAGCTTTCTCACACTTACTATCTGTGATGACGAACGACGGCAGAGAATAGGCATTAGAAATTGAGGCACAGCAAACTTCAGTTCTTTCTTAGGCATTACACTTTTAGCATCAATCCCACCAGTACTGTTATACTTTGCCATCTCATTTGTTTGATCTATATTTGGATAAAGAAGGAGCTTTGAAGGGTTTTTCAACAACATTCTATTGCCTATTGTAGGAAAATAAAGTAATCGGTCTTTAAAAGTATCTTTACTCACGTCACCGAATAAGTTACTCATATCCTCCTCATCAAAATATTTCCTCTTTGAGCTTCCCAGTGGAATAGGACTCGGTGAACATTGTACATCTGAAGCAGGATCCATATCAATGTCTCCAATAGTTTTTGCATGACTTAATGGTCTTTGTAATACACCTTTTAGTTCTGAATGAGAATCTGATGAATACTCAGGTACAAACCAAGATGCAGGCCTTGTAGTACTTTTGTTTGATTCATGTATGTTAATATTTGAGTGTGTTGCTTCACTATATAAGTTGGATTGAACGTTAAAATCCTCACCCAAGTAAGATCTTGTTTGTATGCTCCTATTAGAAGAATAGGGAGATTTGTCTCGAACTGCACTTTCAACTGGTAAGGAAAGTTGTTTACTCATGGTTTTTCTGATGACTGAGGAAGACTTAGATGTACTTCCTCTAAGGAATCCGCAACCAGGATAACATTCTTTATACAGACGACTGTGATATTCGTTACCATTCTGTTGTTCATAACATTGATGATGATGACATCGTGGATTATGATGATACAGTTTGTGACGGGCACAAACATCTTTTTCTTGAGCTGAACGTTTTTTCACTAAACCGAAAAAGTCACGACTACGATTTGTTTCACGTGATATTTCTGGTGTAGAAGAAAATATAAATTTATCATTTTCCACTTTATTCGGTGTCTGTGGTATAAACTTCATTAGAGAGGTTGTGTAGAGCATTTTAAGTGATATTATAAATTTGATTAACAGAACAATTAGTCTTGATTTGTTCGTAGTTGTGAAATTTTCAATTTCTAAAATAAGCGTTAAATGTTCAAAAAATTGAAATTGACTAAAAAGATATTTTGCCATAAAATTGTGAAAAATACATTCCCTCATCAATAAAGTTTTGCAGGAATTGTCGAAAGTTGCTGTCTTTTAAAACTGCTAACAACAATTACTGTGTTCAGTCAACAGAAAATAATTTAAATTCCCCTACTTTGAGACCACAATTAAATGGAAAGACGCTTATTTTATTATAAATATAAATTGTAGCCTAGAGGACCAATCAAATGCTAGAATTACTATGTCAAATTTGCCCATTCTTAAATGATTGGTTTATTTCTGAAATGATGAATTTCAGTTGGTTGTTAGCGGATAATGAATTCAATAGATACTTCTAAATATTGAGCTTCACATGAGTTTGATAGCATAAATATGTTTAAAATCATCTTACGTCTACAGAGTAGTTTGTTATACCGGTAAGTACAGCTAACGAGTAGCGAATAAGAGGGCGTACACGTCTTAATATCAGTCAGTAACCACCGTAAGGTATAAGCAAAGCTTCCTATACGTTATCTGTTATTTGGCTCGAATTAAATGAGTGAAAATAGCCACGTTATGTAAATTGGACTCAGGTAAACTATCGAATTTATTTATTTATAGTGTCTTAATACACGTTTCACTTCATCCGCTCTATATCTCAACATAAAGTGTAAAGTATTTCATAAAAGTATATTTAAATATAATTGATGACATCAAAGCATTTGTACTTGTAAAATGATTAATTCTCCATCTTTCTCTCCTAAGAAAACAACTAAAGAATCTCAAACCAGTTCAGCCTTAATTATGAGTTTATAACCTTACAAGCTTTGTTCTGAGTATTGGCAATAATAGTTTACTTGAAACTGTGACCACTTTTCAGGCTGGTCAAAAGTGACTTGAATCATTCCAGGTAAACTGTCAAAGACAACAATCGCAACAAAAATATAAAGTAACCATCCACTCTACGAATCACTTGACCTTGCACAAATGCCCTGCTGATTACTATGATTGGTCTTCAACTACTCCTCTGAGTTACTCATATACTCTTATATGACAAATAATCACCAAAAACAAAGTCAAAAGAAACAATAGTTACGATTACAGATTTTCTAAATATTTTTACCGTCATGAGATTCAAATTACAAGACACAATTACATCATACCAAAGTTTAAGGTAACATCAGTTATGTCTGATTCAATATTTAGGAAGTCCCGTCAACAACATACACTGGCTGTTATTGTGTACTGCTCCAAAATGAAAACATATTCTCACTTCATAGTTCCTACACCATTACACTGAGGCGACAGTTAAAAAACTATAAGGGATATTACGAAAATCAAAACAATAAGCCGTAGCATAGAAAATAATCGAAATAGTTTAAGACAAAAAACTTAACTTGAATGATAACAAGTTTTCACTATCCTGTTGAATGATAATTCGAGAAATTTGACACTGGATATGGTCTAACAGTTATGCAGTTTTTCTCACGTGCATTTGCTTATTACGGAACTGACACAAGTTAAAATCAACCACATAAAGTGGTCAGAAATATTAAAATGTAGGCTGTAATGGACATATTATGTAGTTATTCTCTTCATAGTGTCTATCAGTCGAATCCAGGATGCATGTTTCATCCAAGTTGGGACTCATCAACAAGATATACCTGCACCCTAGTATGAGTGACGATCTTCCCGTTGATACTCGAACGTAGCGTCCGTTGTTTCAAATGTCAAAGTGTTATCTGGATTGAATCGCCTAGCCTTGGTATATTGGTTAACACTTTGGTGTTTGAACCTATCAGTATTGGGTTCAAGTCTCACTGAGAACACCACCACTCACTGGGGTGCAAGTATGCCCAGTTCACAAGTCCCAAATAGAAGAAAATATGCCCTTCGATTCCACTGTCAGCCATCGCCAACCTAACTGTATGATGAATCATCAGATAAAATTGAAAAAATTTGAAAAATGACACAAATATCGCTCAGAGCGTTAAATAAAAACTACTTCAGATGCAGTCTGACTTGTGTGAATTTTAAAGGAAGTACTTTTGAGATGTACTACCTTTGATAAAAAAATAACGTCTATTATTTCATTGTGCAATAGGCTTGTATACAACGTCTTCATGATGATTGATATTTTCAGAGTTCAAACGGAAATGACCTGCAGATTGATATTGCGGAATGAATGTAATAATGATCAAATGACGGGCAATTATTTATGAACGAAAACGGCAGAAATCTGATGGCTGATAATAGTCAATATTTACTTTATCCGAAACGTGAAGGTCAACACATTATTAAGGTCATACTATATCGCAAACTGACGGAACTAGGAGAATGTGAACCACTGGATCCTGACCTAGTGGCTCACTGTTAATGTGTTCGTCAGCAGTGTCATGTGAACGGACTGCCGAGGAGCTGCACTCTAGGACGAAACAGGTGTTAGTGCTCTCCCGTTTCTAATGGTTCTCTGATTGATGTCAGTCAGTGATGATTATGAAACTGATATTGACAAGGATAATACATAGGTAGAGTTTTTAACATTTTATCCTGGTCATAAGGAGTCCTGACAGAAGAACAACTAACGTTCAGTTTGAATATTTCAAAGAAAGACTGATGATATACGGATGACTAACAGGTTTGCCTGTATCATGATGGCATGCGAATTCAAACAAAAACTGAAGTTACGTTAAAATTACAAAAAGCTACATTTAACTTACTAATCATTCCATATGACAACTAACTGACTGCTATTCAGTCATCGCATTTTCTACCTACAGACTAATTCTTCAAGTCCCACCACAGCTATGACTCTATTTCATGCTTTCCAGTGGCTTTTGTGAGAAAAAGCCGATTGGTTTGTTGATAATATTAGAAACTGTTAAATTAATTATTCAACTCAGGTTGTTAAACGTTTTTGAAGAGTACTAAGTCCCTAAACTCTAAAAACTTTAAATTTTAGAATGCAAATATGATTGTAGTAATGATGGATAGTGCCTAGAAGTGGAATTCAGCATGTACATTTCGTCCTACTTGGGACTCGTTAGCTGGATGAATCTGCCTTCCAGTGAGTGATGTTGTTCCCACCAGGATTCCAACTCAGCACCGATCGCTTCAAACACCACAGCGTTATCTACTACACCACCGAGTCACGATAGCCACTTCTTGTGTGATGGGTATAGTTTTAGTATTATTGCTTGTATTGTGCTATCGTTGATTGACCGAAATGATCGGTTTCTGTTTGCATACGGACTCTTGTGTGGATGCCCCGATGTTACCTGCGCTTTTAGTTGTAGTAATGAGTCCAAGTCCGAATTCCGGTAGGAACAACATCACTCACTGGGAGGCAGATACATCAAGCTGATGAGTCCATATAGGACGAAAAGTGCGACCTGGACTCCACTGCAAGTCACAAAGATGAATATAACATCAGGAATATTTAGCAGTGTCAAGACATCCTCATAAAATCCTATCTGCTAATAAAGGTCGAAACATTTTGCCTCATATAGTAACGTCCGAATCACAAGTATCAAAAAATAGTGTGTACAGCAGTGGAATCCGATCACTTACATCCGATGGGTTAATAACTAGAAATTTTAAAATCTTACACCTTGTTGAACAAAAGAGAATTATCGCATCTTTTTCTGTCCTTGAACAACCGTCTACCATTTTTTAAGATTTGACTGCAAAATTGAAAACTATCAATGTACTTCAATCTAGGCATATCAAAATCAACAGTTTTCACGTAGAGGAAGGAATACATATCTTGGGTACCACACCTAATTCCCTGTTGAATTCAGTCAGTTAGCAAGTTTTTATTAAATTCTATCCCAAATGAATAATTTATGTTACTATCTTCGGTGCATAATTTTCATATCCAAGATGATATTAGTTTCTGATGTTTTGAAATGACATGTAACATTAACTGCTTCTCTTTTAGATTGCACATTTAAGCAGAGTTTCAGGCAAGGCTTAAATTCTTCCGTGATTTCAGATCATTTGTTCTAGTGAATTGCTTTTTGTTTTTATAAGTTAAGGCGACAGGCAATTTTTCGTTACAAAATCACATATGTCTTATGCATGTGAAAAAAAGTGCATGACATCAATAAAACTGTTGTCACATTGTAACTACTAACAAATAATTCAGGTTGTAGGTACGTGGGAATCTTAGCGATTTCCATTTAGTATTCTTCAAGAGGTGACACCATTTGGAGAACCATGGGAAAATGTGAGAGCATATAATAGTCACGGGATCTCAAGCTTCTGGGTTCGACCCTTGGTGGGGCCACTAATGAGTACTGCTAGGGAATCCCTTACTAGGGTGAAACAGCTGTCCAGCCCCCTCAAGTGTTCATCAGTTATCCAACTGACATCAGTCCGTAATGAATGCTATCTTAATATTAACAAATAACTTGGATAGTTATCCATCCCAATTTTGGTAGAGTCTATGGTAACGATCCAGTGACAAAATAAAAAATTAAAAGAACTTGTTCGTTAGTTCATATCAAATAAGAGCGAAAAGCAGAGGAATGCAATAAAGTTCTCTTGATGAACTGCGATTTGGCTGCATGAAATTGGTTTCACAATCTGAGATATTGTGTCCCAGTAAACCACACGAGACGTTTGATGAAGAATTCATAGAATATTATGCGTAAATACATATTTTTCCAACCACTACTAAAGTTTTAGGCATCAATTACTAAATGTTTTAATAATGAAATAGGAAGCATATAAAATGCTCCAGGAGAAACGGTAACATAGAATTGTTCGACCTGAAGTATATGAAATATACTACTATTTGACTACACCTTCAAATAACTAGGAAAAAAGTAGAATACAGTAAACAAAATTTTTAAAAAGAATCATTTTCAGAAGTTGTACATTTGTATGCATAATTGCAACAGAAATATGTGTCAATCAGTAGCAAATAGGTCAGAGTAAGGTCATCAAAATTGTCAAGAGGGTCATAAGGTGATCACGGTTAGAAGATCAGTGCAAGGTCATCGAAAACTTTTTGTACGACTACATAAGACAAACAAATAGTAAAT